ATTAATCAAGCATTATTTATATTAGCACAGGAGGTAACTTCGTTCTAATCAATTTTGCCAAACTTTTCACAGAAAACTTGTTTATTATAGTCTTTGTATGATCTGATTGTAACTGTGTTATGTTCATTAAAATACTCCTTGCTAACTTTCCGGGTACAAAAAACGACAGAGTGGTCACTAATACCAATGTCTAGAGTACCTGATTGCTTAATCTGTATAGGATCAGAAACAATAATCAGATCTAAGATGGAAGAGGTACAATCAGGAATGCTTGTTGTGGGATTAATTAATTGCGAAAAGTTACACATAAAACAAACTTTTTTAAAGCTTTTCGTAAGATTTTTTGAACATAATGTGTTTTTTGACAAAGCAGTATTGAAATCACCTAAAATATATGTTTCTAAATTCGCAGAACTAGAATTTGTAATACGTGTTTGTTCTAATATACTCAGCCAAATTAAAAACTTGACACTGATGAATTTCAACAATTTTTTTTTTCTGGTAAGTCAAATAAATTTTAAAGTGTTTCTAACGATAGTAAGTAGTAAGAAGCCTTTAATTTCATCAAATTGTAAAGTCACGTGGATCACGTGACTTTTGAGCATATAAAGATGAAAAACCTGAAAAACACGTGCAAACACAAACTCGTGAGGTCAATCGATACAAGTTTGCTTAAACTGAACACGCACACGTAACTTGAACTGGAAAAACAAATTAAAATTGTTATTTTCATCTTTGTTAGAAAATGCCGCGCCTTTCAAATGTAGAACGTCTACGTGCTATAGGTAGGCTCTATGCTGGTCAGTCTGTGGTCACTGTTGCAAGAGCCTTTAATTGTTCACGCCAGACAATAATTAATCTTAGAATGAGAGTGCTTCAAACTGGAACTATTGCCGACCGCCCAAGGGCGGGAGCGCCACGTGTGACGTCACTCCAAGAAGATCAAGCAATACGATTACGTCATCTTAGAAACAGATTTTTCACTGCAACCTCCACAAGTAGAGAGATGTTTGGTGGAAGGGTAACTGCACAAACTGTTCGAAATCGCTTGCAGGCTGCTGGTCTTCGAGCTCGGAGGCCCTATAATGGACCAATATTGACACCTCTTCATCGCCGTAACCGACTTGTGTGGGCCACAAGACACATAAGATTTACTCAAAGACAGTGGAATTCGGTTGCCGATGGCAGGGTCCGAGTGTACCGCAGACGAGGTGAACGTTACGCTCAAGTATGCGTCAGAGAAGTTGACCGATTTGGTGGCGGCAGCGTCATGGTTTGGGGTTCTTTTTGTGCACATGGACGTTCTCCTCTTGTTGTTGTCCAAGGGAACTTAAATGCTGTCCAGTACAGCAATTGCTACCCAGAATTTTTTAAGAAATGCCGGTGTCCAAGTCCTGGATTGGCCGTCGCTTAGCCCCGACCTTAATCCTATTGAACACATCTGGGACGAACTGGGTCGACGTGTTCGTCAGCAAGTGAATCCACCACTGACGTTGCAGGACTTTCAACATGCTCTTGCTGAGCAGTGGCGACATCTTCCTCGGGTAGTGTTTACTAATGTTCTGAGATGCATGAAAAGACGTTGTGTGGCAGTACGAGACGCTAGAGGAGGCCACAACCGTTACTAAACACTTTATTCCGATTGTTCTCCAAGTCTGTGAATTTCATTTTGGGGGGTACTGTGACATCACGAACGTTATCAATGTCAAGGACTTTCGGCGAGACGTATTCTTGCCTTCTGTTGATGTCAAGGTCGTCTGTGCACAACATAACACTAAAATAGTTGCCTTAAACCAAATATTAAAAATCTAGTCCCAAAAATTCCGAGTGTCAAGTTTTTAATTTGGCTGAGTATATATATATGATATATCATAAAAATTGTTGGAGATCTATAACAGCTAGAATTTACTTGGTATCCACAGTTTCTGAAGGAAAATTTTTCTAAACTCAAATTAAAGATACATTATGGGAGATTCGATAGCGAGTTGGCAGTTCTCACTATAATAGTTGAAAACTAGATAATGTAAAGGCAATTTGCTGAAAATTTCATTCAAATTGATTGAAATTTCCGCCTAGCCTCGATCATCATTACTAAAGTCAGTACGATAAACAGCATAGTCTCGATTATCCATTTAATTGTTAAATCGTAAAGAAAGTTATGCAGTAAATCGACTCATAATCCACTAAAGATCGCAGGCTAGCAATGGCATCTAGAGTTGATTATGGTCTGGATAGGTTAATTAATGTCTTAATTAATAATTTAGATAACATTTCAGGCCTAAAGAAAGACCTGCAATAGACAGATTTAGCTCTTGCATAATGTATGTTTAATGTATCTGTCGAAAAATTTATATATATTTCAGCCTTCTATGGTTACTCTGTTTCATGTTTAGTAAGATGACTATCCTTTGATCAAGAGAGTTTCATTGCATAAGTTGAAAAAGTCATTTTCTTTCAGCAAGCATGCAGAACAACCTGCTAAGGCTTATTCATTCTGATTGGATATCACTCACAAACACACACAGTCAAGTTGAAACTGGAGTGCAAAAAGTGCTTATAAGGAAGGAGGAGTGCTGAAGGAGTGTCTAAAAATACAGATGCTTGCTCACATGTTGAGAGGTGTCCAAAATTACACAAAAACTACAATTGGCAACTTTGTAAGCACCTAGTCGTTTTGGGACTAACATATGGTTCAATTTTTATTTCAATAATTTGCATGCGCGTGGGGGTGGGGGGTCTTTAGCAGTGGACCCAGAGACAACCCACAAGGTTGGATAGGCGACCTTACTCCTTGTTGCGTACAAACGGGAAATCGATAACAGACATTATGATACAAAGCGCACGCGCTAATCATTAGGCCATCCACACCCCGCTGCGTAAGGGACCAACCAGCATGTTGCGTGAAAATTTATCATACAAATCGATAGGAAACGTTTTATAATTTCATGTTATCATTACATGCGACGGTCATGTTTTTGATTTTTATGTCAAAAATATATATAATCTCTTTTTGAAAGGACAATATCGACTTACTATACATATGGAGCCGAATCGTTGCCATATTAAGAGAAAATATCATGATTAAAATTGCAAAATTATCATAGTCAAAATGGTAAAAATGGCCATTCTCGAGAATTTTCACCTGTAAACATCACATAACAGTTAATACATTTAATGGATATTTACCATCATGAAAATCACTATTAGTATCAAAACAAAAATTGTTCGACAAAAATTAACAATGAAAAATCTAGTTATGTTTTTTCCCTCTCTACTTTTCGCCTTTGAAAATTCGCTGTAAATTTTTCATCTTTGCATTTTCAACTATCAGATTTTCTCCATTGCATTTTCGACTATCACAATTTCTTCGGCCAAAGTTGACGTCATAACTCATCTGTTTTTATCGTCTTGACTCAAATTAATGCTCCCTAATAGGAACTATGGGCACACGACGTCATAAATCTACGTTGGTATAAGCGGGTGATGCATTTGGAGTTCTTCGGTTGGCTGAGAGAATAGTAAGAGGGGGAGGACCGCATAACACATAAACAACTACACATTACAAACCCGTGGAAACGACACACAATATAGGTTACACATATATTTCAAACAATAAGCATCTCAAATCAAGTGAATGGACCCGGAGGTGCCGTAAGCGTTCACTGCGCTGTAGGCCTACCGGATTTTGACTTATAAAAACACCTGTTGATTAATTAATTATATAAAACAATATTTAACGAAATGTGTTATTTGTAGGTAATTGATTAATTGTAGGTACCATAGATGTGTACTTTATTTGAAGTACTAGTACGCCAACATCAAAAGATGACGTCACATCTGTATTTTTTTTTTTGAAGACCACCTAAAACTTATTAGGCCTATATACTGGCTACCGGATAGTTGTTTTCAAAAAATTCTGCTTTGCAAAGGTATGAAATGCTTATGGTTAAAATTCAATAACTATTACTAACATTTTAACTCTTGAGTCTTGTCGGAGGGGTATATATATATAGGCCTAATTAGACCCACCTTTTTACTTAATACAACTTTTGTTTATAGTTGTATTTTAATTAATATAACTTGTGTTTCTAGTTTCGCATTATTTCACTCCCAGTTAATGTGAAAAGAATAAATAATTTATGTCTTGACTGTCATGTTTTAATGACAACTACATAATCCATTAGATTTTAATATTGACAGTGCACAGCTAGACTCTTGCTGCATGTGTTGCGATCACAACTACCGTAACTTATCATGATCGATTGAAAAGGTAAATTAAAATATTCTGGGACACCGACCCAGTGAAACAATAATTCATACCTCTTATCGGGTATATTTTATTTTTTTCATTTTCTACAAATTACAGATCTTTATCTACTAAATATTGTAACTGTTCTTGTGAAATAAATAACTTTGGCGGATCAACACTTCCTGACCAAAAATGATACCCTCTACCATGTCCTAATTATCTTGTTGGCAATTTATTACATCGTCTAAGCACCTCTTTTTCTCCAAAAAATAATAAATGAAATAGGACAATTCTTAAGAGTTATGAATAACCCAGTTTAGCAGTAATTTTAGCCGAGACGATAATTGCTGACGTCTTATGACGTCAACTTCGGCTGAACCCGGAACCACGCCTTTTGTCCGCTCGATTGGAGAAATTTGGGAGGTAGAAATTACAATGGAGAAATTCTGATAGTTGAAAATGCAAAGATGAAAAAGTCTGAGTGAATTTGCAAAGGCGAAAAGTAGGAAGTGAAAAAACATAACTAGATTTTTTTGGTTTGTTTTGATACTAATATAGTGATTTTGTGTTATGTGATTACAAGTGAAAAATCTCGAAAATGACCACTTTTACCATTTTGACTATGATAATTTGTCAATTTTAACTATTATATTTTCTCTTAATATGGCAACGATTCGGCTCCATAATTATATTATTATGATATATATATATACTGTGCATAAATATCTGTATATGTTATCAAATACTCACATCGAGGAAACAGCAGGGAAGATGGTGAAACAACATTCAAACGGTAAATCTTTATATTTTAATGGGGGGCCACGGTGGTTCAGTGAGTGAATGAAATGGGTTTTAACATCCTACTCTGTTCTACTCCGGCTGGGATAATGGCTCGTTGACTAAGACGTTGTCTCGCTAACCTAGAAGTCCCGTGTTCGATCCATGTGTTGTCAGGTCAGTGGTGTAGGACGGAGGGTCTGTCAAGGGACAACATATAGTCGTTCCGATGGGACGTAAAGCCGTGGTCCCGTGTAAACATGGACGTGGACGTTAAAGAACACTTTTTAGTTTAAATTTCATAAAAGAGTAGGCCGAACCGCCGCTATCCGGGCAAAATTGTCCTCTTGCACACTGTATTGTATATGCCCGTCTTCATTAAAACAGTCGGAGCCGAACAGTAGACGTTAAACCCCATTTCACTTTATTTTATAATTTAATGAATCATATACATTTGAAAATACCGCACATAAAGATGGCAGTGTGAAATAAACAGAAAACAATCCAAACTTGAAATGGCAAACCCTTGTGAAATTAGAAAAAAAAATATATCCCACGTTCTTTTCGGTTCTTGTCTGTCATTAGTAGGACCGTTTTATTTAAAATTTATGAGATCATTAAAAGTTTGGATGCGTAGAATATTTTGGTATGATGTGTAGAATATATTGGATGTGTAGAATATATTGGATATGGTGTGTAGAATATATTGGATAATGTGTAGAATATACTGGATATGATGTGTAGAATATATTGGATATGATGTGTAGAATATATTGGATATGATGTGTAGAAAATATTGGATGTGTAGAATATATTGGATATGATGTGTAGATTATTTTATTTTGGAAATGATCTGTAGAATATTTTGGGTGCTACTGACCAATAAACTAGCTTCTAGGTGATTGGGGGAGAGGAGGGGGGGGGGTGTCAAAATGTCAACTATCCGTACTTATTTCAATATTTTATGAAATTTGTTTAAATTTTGGAATATGTATATTACCCAAAAGATGCGCCGTAGAGGTGCACAAAATCTCTGACTTAGTTTTTTAAATTTTGATTTCGTTTTCGGGCCATTTCGATTAAAAGGTGAAAAGGGTGTAAAAATAAGCTATTTACAACCCATCCAGCGTCTTCATAATTTAAAATATTACTTTGTTACTTTCATAAACTCGTAGCAGTAACCTATACAAAGAGAATGTATGTCAAAATTAGTTTCACAGAAATAGCCAATTTTGCAGGAGTCACCTTTCACATTATTTTGCCTGTAAAAGAATAAATTATTATTCGATTTTCAATTTTCTTCGACGATTTGATGCCTTATGCCACTTTTGACTAGGTCAAACTATTTTAACACTTTCACTGTCACCGGAAGTGACGTCATTTAGGAAATATAAGTGAATTTTTAGCCTTGAAAACAAATATTTTATTCAAATTTGTCGTATTTGTTATTGGTTTAAAATTATGATATTTGATTCCAATCAACAAATCGAATGACCCCATACGATCATACAGATACCACGAAATGGTTTCTAACTTGTACGGTTGCATAGAAATAGACGATTTTCTACAAGTCACTTTTCAAGGTTTTTGGTCGATAAAAGTGTCAATTATTATTCGATTTTCATAAAATTTTCACAATGCGGTGTCTTATGCCAGTTCTGATTTGATAAAAACTAATTTAACTTTTTCATTCTCACCAAAAACTGTATTTATAGCCTTCAAACCAAATATTCTTTTTGAAGTGAGTTTTATTTAGTATTCATTTAACATTATGATATTTGATTCCAATGGACATATATAGAATGGATCAATACTATTATTATTATTATTATTATTATTACAGCATATTTATAGTGCACCCTTTCATATAACATGTTCAGAGGCACTTTACAAAGTGACAATGTAAATCACACATAAACAACAAGATTATGGGCATGTTAACGATTGTATACGATCATATAAATGTCAAAAAATGGCTTCTAGCATCTTCCCATGTTAGATAAATAACCAATTTTGTCAGGATCATTTTTGTAAAGATTTTTAGCCTTTTTAATTTAAGTTTATGTGTTCTATGTTAATTATTTATTGCCCGATATGTATAATACAAAGATCATATGTTTCATGGTGCAAATGCTTAACAATATTGTTACCGATAAAGTTTTCCTTCGGCACCGGAAGTAACGTAATTTTCGAACGTCTTTTCGCAAGCAGATAATAATTTTTACAAATCTTATAGATCAAGAAGAATGCCTCTGTGACAGGCGCAAAAAAAAAATCGATTTAAAGGTGAAAAAGGGTGTAAAATTGAGCAATTTACAATCCATTCAGGCTTTTCATATTTTAAAATATTTCTATGTATTGTCCATAAACTTGTAGCTTGTATCTAATCGAAGACATTCTATGCCGGAATTAGTTTATAATATGTGCAGTTGCCGAGCAATGAGAAATTTTACACGAGTCACTTTTCACATTATTTTGCCTGTAAAAGAGTCAATTATGATTGGATCTTCATAAAAGTAACACCATTTGATGCATAAAGCAAATGTGCATTATATCAATTTAAGCAGAATTTAAAGTTGACACCGGAAGTGACACCATATTCTCCAAAACAGATATTTTATTCAAATGAGTCCTATTTGATATGCGTTTAAAAGTATGGTATTTAATTTTATTCAACAAAAAGAATAAACCCATGCGATTATATAGATATCACATAATGGTTTCTAACTTGTTCAGTTGTGTGAAAATAAGACGATTTCCTGCAAGTCACTTTTAACGGTTTTTGGTCCCTAAAAGTGTCAATTATTTTCAACATTTATTTTCAACGAAGGTGACAACATTTAGACAAAAACTGTATTTTAAGCCTTCAAAACAAATATGTGCTTCATATAAGTGTTATTCAATATTCCTTCAAAATTATGATATCTAATTCCATCCAACATATAGAATGATTTAATACGATGCTATAGATATCAAAAAATTGCTTTTAACTTCTTCCGTTACTGAGAAATAACCAATTTTGTCAGGGTCACTTTTAAAGTTTTTCTTTCGCATTTTAATTTCCCATTAAAAAGTCTCATCAGCTAACTTAGACGTAAGTATGTAACCAATTTTATCAGGATCACTTTTTATACGAAACTTGAAATATAGGTACATCTCCCAAAGATCTCGGTTCATTTTGAATATTGGCATATATTGATCCATAATTTCATGGATTATGGCCCCTGATTGTAAAAGAAAATCACAATTTTAGCGCGTGTACACTCTAGGGGTCACAATTTTCATCTGATTTTGATGAAACTTGAAATACATGTATAAAACCCAATTTTAGCGTGTGGACACTCTAGGGTCACAATTTTCATCTGATTTTGATGAAACTTGAAATACATGTATAAAACCCAAAGATCTTGGTTCCTGTCGATATTCGCGCATATCGGATCATAACTTTCTGAATTATAGCCCTTGATTGTATGAAAAATCGCTTTTTGTTTAGCTTGTTCTCTATCCAACTCTTGCAAAATGTGGGCGTATCTTGCCTGGCAGCCCCTTGTTTGACATATTATATCCACGGATGTGTTGAGATTCTCATAGGGTTAAAAAAAAGTTCACCGAGTAATGTTTATATATTCTTGGTCGAATTTTTAGTTCTTACAAATTTCAAAATTTTGAATTTTGCCTTTGACCTTTATCGTGCCCACAATGATAAATATGCCAGATAAAATCATATCAAAATCGGCCAAGGCAAAATGACATGACTAACAGAATTCAATTTGGCGATATCTCTACTAAGTGTCTTTCAGTGGTGGGAGGATAAATAATTTCTTTTTAAATTCCTCAAACACAGAGTGGTTTTGCAAGCGAAATGTGTCGAAAATTCGTATTTGTCAAACATCAATTAAATAAAATGTATTTTTCATTTGGTGGCGGGCATTTCTTTCAAAATGACTGCCAAATTTAGTAATATAATACCATTTAATAAAAAATAAATAAAAATGAAAAAAACAAAAACAAAAAACAATAACATTAATTTGGTAATAAAAGGGCAGCGATAATCTCAAAAATTTAATTTCGAGAATTCTTGATGGTAGAAATTCAAAATGTCCGGCAAAATGAAATCCAAAATTTTAATTAATCGTCATTTCTTTCCGTTGGGTATGACTTGTAATATGTGGTATCTTAATCCCGAAATGATATACTTGCTCTTAAATGATTATACTGCTAATGTTTTTTACATCTAGATATAAATGGATTTGGTGGAAAAAATTCTAGGTACATTGAAATGTTGGCAATAAAGATCCAATCATATATAGTTTTTAGTTTTACCACCCATATAATATACTTTATTCAGCTCGACGCAAGACTTAAAGGTTCTAAACCGCTAATATTTGGGACCTAGAAATTGACCCAAATGGGTCGCAACGCATATAATAATGTAATCTGATTGTATATAAACTGATTTACATTCAATTGTTTCCGTTTTGTCTCTAATTTCAAATCAGTTAGGTCCAGCGAAATACGGCATGAGGCTATATAGTTTTTAGTTTTACCACCCATAATATACTTTATTCAGCTCGACGCAAGACTTAAAGGTTCTAAACCGCTAATATTTGGGACCTAGAAATTGACCCAAATGGGTCGCAACGCATATAATAATGTAATCTGATTGTATATAAACTGATTTACATTCAATTGTTTCCGTTTTGTCTCTAATTTCAAATCAGTTAGGTCCAGCGAAATACGGCATGAGGCTCAACCGAATAGAAATTTCTAGCGCCCGGTTATTCCAGTCTATTGCGCATGCTGTGCCAGTATTGGTTCTTTAATAATCAAGTTCAGATGACAAGACTAGTTTCAGTTTTATTCTGCTTCTAACATATTATGTACAAACATCGTAATGTTAAAGACACCCAGGACTAAACTACATTAGTTGGCCGTTGTCCGGTCTTAACTCCGTGACCTGCGTGGCCTGGAGTTAACTACCAGACGTCGCCTAGCCTCCGACTGCTCTCAAGTCCT